AAAAAAAAAAAAAAAAAAAAGAGGTGGTGACTTCTGAACACAAGTAGATCATAAGGGCTTTGTCCTCATAGACTGGACTATGTTCTTACAACAGAAGCCACTGGGGGTATGTTTGGGCCTTCTACATGACAGACCCAAATCACTAGGCAAATGCCAACCCTTCACCAGACACTGAGAATGCTGGCATGCTGGCCCTGGATTTTCCAGCCTCTGAAACTATAAGGAATACACGTCTGTTGTTCATAAATTGTGCAGTCTAAGATATTTTGTTAGAGCAGCCCCAAAAGGCTAAGATGCCCCTAAAGAAAAAATTCTGCTGTAGACACAAACAGTAGGACCTACCACACATATTACTCATGAAACAACTCGTTTTTCTCTAGGCAGCCCCCCTAGAAACGCCCCCCTCCTGAGCTTACTACATTATCAGGAATCTTGTGTCTTATCCCAAATCCTATTCCTCAAGGTAGGGATCATGTCTTCACTTACTATGCACTGTTCACAGAGTCTATATCAGATATCTGGAAAATATTTACTGATTCCAGACCTATAGTCTGCCATTTTCTCATGGCAAAATCCACTCTTTTGGATTTTCTCTTTTAAATCCACTCCTATTGACTTCACCGCAAATGGTTTTAACTCAGACTACAATTTTGAAGTTCTTAGGAGCTGAGGAGATGGCTCAGTGGAATAAGCACTTCTCTGGCAAGCACAAGGGCCTGAGTTCAAATCCCGGTTATGCAAAACAAAAATTTGAAGTTCTTATGAAATGCTAGATAGAAGTACGTGTTCCAAAACATGTAGAATAGATGGCAATTCAGAAAATCCCTTCTTACTGTTTGAGCTTTACACCTGGATACAAAATAGGTACTGTTGCCATTGTGAAGACGAGGACGCTGAACCTCAGCAGTTTGGTTAACACGCTTGGCCAAAGTAGTCACTGGAGAGTGGCAGAAACAGATTAGCCATGCCACAACCAGGCTTTGATTTTAGGTTTGTTTTCCTGTGTGTGTGTGTGTGTGTGTGTGTGTGTGTGTGTGTGTGTGTTTAATGTGTACGGTCTCACTACGCAGCTTGGACTCATAATGATCCTATTTTCAAGCCTCTCAGTGCTGGGATTACAGGCATGTGCCACTGTTCTCACACTTGGTTGCCAGCAGGAGCTTAGTCCACTGAGCTATCTCACTGGGCCCCAACCTGGCTTTGGGTTTCACAGTCCCAGGCATGCCAAGGGCCTGTTCTGGAAATTGTGCCCTACTGGAGCTGCCTGCAAGCAGCTCTGATGCTGATCTATTGGCATGTGTGCTGCAGTAGGCTATTTGTACCACAAAAAGCTATAAAATGTTCATCCTTACTGATGTAACAGCCCCACCAATGCGTGGGTCTGTGGAATATCCACCTATGTTAGGGCATTTGCTGTCTGGAACACACATGTGAAGCCTGGAACCAAGGCATCTCTGTGGCCCTGAATGTTACTGAGGAGAGATTCAGCCCACATTTAAATGCCAGATGACAGAAGCAAGTGGCCAAGCAGTGCAGGCATTTTTGCCAAGTTGGATGGGAGCAAGTGTGACGAAGCCAATGGGACTAAAGGGGGCAAACAATTCATGTCTGATTGGAACCAAGCACTATGTTGATGGTAACACTTCCAAAATGAGCAAGGGTGACCATAAACCCCTGTTCCAAGGAGCCCTGTGAAGGAATGAACAGCTCGTGCTCCTGTGATTTACCAGGAATTGGCCAGTAGGGCCCTCCTTTCAATCTCAGCAAGAACAGCCATGGTGACAGTGACATCACCAGTCCTCCCCTGCCTGCTGCTAACCAGCAGAAGCTCACAAAGGCAGGACTTCGGGGCCCAGACATCTTGTTTCTGTTGCGTTTGCCAGAGAGTTGCTCCAGAGGAGGTCTGCATTGTGTTATAATCACATGGTTTGCAAAATGATAGTTAAGAGTCTGTTAGCATTTCCACCCCAAACCTCATATTTTCAGCTGCTCACAGTGACTCAAATATAAGAATTCTCTTTAGGCTGAAATTTGGCACACGGGGTCTCAGGCCCAGCTGGGGAGCAATTTCAACCTTTTTTGGGACCGGATTTCAATAACATCCATTTGGCTGTTTTTGAATAACAGCAGAAGTACAACAGAAGAGAAGTTAGCATTTTTACAGCAAAATGTTGCCATTATGGGATTCAAGAATTGGTACGGGGTGCGGGGATCTGCCCCAGCCGCTCCCAGCAAACCTTGGCAGGTGATTAGCCTTT